GTTGTCTAGAACCACTAAAAGTGAGCTGGTTTTGCACAAAAAGTTTCCTCTCTTTTCAGCAGGTCTGGGAATTATTCATTATTCAACGCTGTCACATTTTAAACGGATGCATTTGGCTTACGCACTAAAAGTTTTACCTGCTGGTCATCAAAAGCATAGACCGGCACAAACCATTCCATGGAAACAATTGTGTCACGACGCAAATCTTCTACAAAAATCAGATTCTTGAAAAAAATTCTTTGAGTTTGCAGGTAATTGTAAAGTTGGGCAAGAACTTTTCATAACATTTTACAATTTCTGGAAAACTTTACTTAACACTTCTGCATGATAATTACTGGGAATTCCTTGTTACTTTTTTGATCCCTGGTACCTCGATAATCAATTTAAAGCTTAAAATTTCGCAAACGATTTAGCAAAAACTCAAACTCATTAAATATTACTAATTTTCCATGGCAACGGTAATTTATCACGTGCTTGTTAGAAAAAATACTTCTTGCTGCTAACTGCCTTCAGTTTCTTGGATTACGTTAAATCAAACAGATAGACCTAATTAAAAGTAATATAAGAGCTTTTTTTAATTTTTTAAAGCTTTTGATTACCAGAGCAAAATTTTCAAAAAGTCACATTCCTTTCAAAAAAAATTTTGAACTTGCATTTAAGACAATGGTTACGTCTTACTGTTCAGTGCTGCTTCGAGTTCCACATTTTCCAAGCAAACCATATGTAGTCTCTGAACAAATGTGCCCATCGCATCGTACGCGTGAACTTCGCCATCCGCCATTCCGAATAGCAGTGTTGATGAATCGCCTGACCACTAAGACATTTTTTCCCCTCATCTCGTTGTAAAGTTTTTACTTAAAAATTATAGCATTTGTTTTATGCATAGTTACGTAAAAACATGAAGCGAGAAATTTACACAGACAGCAGCCAAATTTCCCGCAACATCTTTACTCCATAATCTATTTCCATCAACCAACCCAACGATCACCTGCCCTGAAATATACAGTTTAGTAACCGAAGCTTTTTTTACTTAGGATCTTTTCTACAGATAATTCTTGTAAGTATAAAGGAAAGTAGCTTAAATTAGGCATGATGCATCAACCAGATGGTGTACTTACCAAAAATGTTAACAGCGTGCGGAACTCATTCACTGCAGTTTTGGATATGACTGTGACTGCCAGTCCACCCATCTCCTCCA